AAAAGGAGCGGAGAGAGCACTGAACCCTGGGGCACCCCACAAAGGAGGGGCCGCGAGCTGGACCTCTCAACCCCAATCAACACCGATTGGGATCGACCTTGGAGGAAGGAAGAGAACCAGCGCAAAACTCTGCCACCCACTCCCAACTCCCCAAGTCGACCCAAAAGGATACCATGGTTGATGGTATCGAAAGCCGCTGAGAGGTCAAGAAGAGCAGGTATGGATGCACTACTCCCATCCCGTTCCCGCCAGAGATCATCCATGAATGTGGCCAATGCCATTTCTGTCCCGTATCCGGGCCTGAAACCTGACTGAAAAGGGTCCAGATAATCCGTTTCCTCCAGGATCCTCTGGAGCTGCAACGCCACCACCTTCTCAACCACCTTCCCTAAAAAGGGGAGGTGGGAGACGGGACAAAAGTTGTTGAGTATGGTGGGATCCAGTAATGGCTTCTTGAGGAGGGGGTGCACCAGCGCCTCCTTAAAGGCAGCTGGAAACACCTCTTCCCTCAAGGATGAATTCACCATTGCCTGGACCCACCCACATGTCACCTCCCGGGAAGCTTTAACTAGCCAGGAGGGACATGGATCTAGTTGACAGGTGCTAGCATTGACTATCCGGAGGACCTATCCACTTCCTCAGGTTCAACAGGATCAAACTGTTCCCAGATAACAGGGTAAGAATGTAGCCTGGGCGTCTCTATATACCATGCCTCATGCTTGGTATCCAGCTGGAACTGGATCTGAGTGATTTTATCCTCCAGATGCCTAGAAAACTCCTCTGTGCGGCCCTGTAAATGGGCTACTGAGCCCCCCTTTCCCAAAAGAGATTGGGTGATCTTGAACAGGGCCGCTGGGTGGCATTCTGCGGATGCAATAAGAGCAGAGAAATATTGATGTTTCGCAGCTCTTACCACCACAAGGTAGGCCTTAATAGCAGCTCTAGCTTGTGTTCGGTTGGGTTTGGTCCTTGCTTTCCTCCAGTGGTGCTCTAGACGTCTTTTAACCCTTTTCAAAACCCTTGACTCCTATGAAAACCATGGGGAGTGTCTGGTTCGATGGGTCAAGAGAGGTCACATGGGCGCGATCTTGACTTCTTTCCTATTCCAGGTAGCGGCCAAGATCCCCACTGGACTGTGCAGCAGACTCTCGGGTATAACTCCCAGCTCCCATTGGAACCCAGTTGGGTCCATCAGTCACTGCAGGTGAACCGATTGAATGGGTCCTACCTCCCTCTGGAGGGGAGGAGCATAAGAGAATCTCAAGGCCACTAGGACATGATCTGACCATGACAAGGGGGACAGCTGTAATTCCTCCTTCAGATCACATTGCCACTGCTTTGATGAGAAAACCAAGTCTGGTGTGAGACCACTGTCCCAAGTTGGGTCATGGATAATCTGGGACAGGCCATGGTAGCCATGAACTCCCGGGCTGCCTCTGAGGCACGCCCCAGGGACAGCAGATTGAAGTCCCCCAAGACTATCAGTCTGGTATATATAATATACCAGTCTGGTGTATATATAATAAATTGTATATATATACACCCCTTCATGGATCACTGCCTTGTCGTGGCGAAGGGGCTTGCGTAACTCAGTGAA